TGGGAGACAGCCTAAAGGCTTTCTGAGGAGGAATGCTTCCTCAGAATCAAACACTGCCAGGGTGGGGCGTGGTGGCACACTCCTGTAATCCCAGCACTCGGGAGGCTGGGAGGCTGAGGCAGGAGTTCTGCTGTGAGTTCCAGGCCAGTCTGGGCTATCTAGTGAGATCAAGGGCAGCTTGGGCTGCATAGCAATACCCTGTCTGAAAAGAGGAAAAGGAAAAGAGAAGAGAACCCTTATGTGGGCTGTGGTATAACTCTGGTAGAGCGCTGGCCTAGCATGTGTGAGACCCTGGGTCCAATCCCTAGCATCTCAAGAAAAACAGTCCACCAGGGAGGAGGGAGCTGCGTCAGGTCCTGGAGACAACAGGCACAGAGGGGTGGCAGGCGCTGAAGGACACGGTCCTTTCTCAAGGGACAGCTATTCCAAGGACCTCAGCCTGCTGCTACGAAGTCCACTGTCAGATCTTCCCCTTTACCTTGCTTTCCCCTTGTGTTTGCCTGTTTCCAGGAGGGCTCCCCTGTTTCTCAAGCACTGGCTCAGCCAGAGAACACGGCCCTGCAGGACCCGTGTGTGTGTGTGTGTGTGTGTGTGTGTGTGTGTGTGTGCCAGAGAACACGGCCCTGCAGGACCCGTGTGTGTGTGTGTGTGTGAGCCAGAGAACACGGCCCTGTAGGACCCGTGTGTGTGTGTGAGCCAGAGAACACGGCCCTGCAGGACCCGTGTGTGTGTGTGTGTGTGTGTGTGTGAGCCAGAGAACACGGCCCTGTAGGACCCGTGTGTGTGTGTGAGCCAGAGAACACGGCCCTGCAGGACCCGTGTGTGTGTGTGTGTGTGTGTGTGTGTGTGTGTGTGAGCCAGAGAACACGGCCCTGCAGGACCCGTGTGTGTGTGTGAGCCAGAGAACACGGCCCTGCAGGACCCGTGTGTGTGTGTGTGTGTGTGTGTGTGTGTGTGTGTGTGTGTGAGCCAGAGAACATGGCCCTGCAGGACCCGTGTGTGTGTGTGAGCCAGAGAACACGGCCCTGCAGGACCCGTGTGTGTGTGTGTGTGTGTGTGTGTGTGTGTGTGTGTGTGAGCCAGAGAACACGGCCCTGCAGGACCCGTGTGTGTGTGTGAGCCAGAGAACACGGCCCTGCAGGACCCGTGTGTGTGTGTGTGTGTGTGTGTGTGTGTGTGTGTGTGAGCCAGAGAACACGGCCCTGCAGGACCCGTGTGTGTGTGTGAGCCAGAGAACACGGCCCTGCAGGACCCGTGTGTGTGTGTGTGTGTGTGTGTGTGTGTGTGCCAGAGAACACGGCCCTGCAGGACCCGTGTGTGTGTGTGTGTGTGTGTGTGTGTGTGTGAGCCAGAGAACACGGCCCTGCAGGACCCGTGTGTGTGTGTGTGTGTGTGTGTGTGTGTGTGCCAGAGAACACGGCCCTGCAGGACCCGTGTGGTGTGTGTGTGTGTGTGTGTGTGTGAGCCAGAGAACACGGCCCTGCAGGACCCGTGTGTGTGTGTGTGTGTGTGTGTGTGTGTGTGTGTGCGCGCGCGCGCGCGCACTGGGAGGCAGGGAAGGAGACTGGGGTGCTGATGCCTGCACTTTGACACCAGACAGCACCTACTTAGTCACCACGCTGATCTTCACTCCGAAGACGCCAGTCTGCTTTTTGGACGGGGTCCTCTTCAGGCTCATATCCCGGCTGGTGAACTTCATGGAGAATTCCACCTTGATCTGGTAGGAGATGGTAGGAGATGAGGCAGGCCAAGGCACCCGGGCATGAGTGTCGGAGGAGTGACACCAGCCCTGGGGTCTCCCCAGCCCCCAGGCCTCCATAAACACCTGCAGCTGGTGGGGAGGGAGGGCAGAGAGAGGAGTGGGGTGGGACTCAGGGAGGCAGAGGCAACGCAGCACCCAGGAGTGGGAGGGCCACCCCCCACCGCTCAGGCATTGCCTGTCTCCTGGGCTCACCCCATTCATCTCGATCACGTCCGTGTGCCAGTTCTTGGTTTCTACAGTCTGTGGATCCAACTGCAGAGCAAGAAAGAGAAGGAGTGTGAGTGAGAGAAGGGCCCAGCCAGCGCTCTCCCTGCTGCAGGTGGGCGAGGCCTCGCCAGCTAGCCACGCTTACCTCGGAGCGGACCCTTCAGGCTAGCTCTATCCCCAGGGCCCCTGACCCCATGGAGAAGGCAGGGACCCTCTGTTATGGTGCATGCCCATTATAAGCCGTTGGCTGACTGCGACAGTGTGAGATGGGTACTGTCAGTCCATTTCACGGATGTAGCAAATGAAGGTCATAAAGGTAAGCAGCTGCTCAGCTATCCAGATTGGGTGGCCTGAGATCTAGCCCCCCGCAGTGCCTGTGGGGCTGCCGAATGGGCAGACAGTGACAGGCAGAGGTCAGAGTCTGTTCTCAGGAGACAGCCTCAGGGGTTTGAATCCTGGCCTTGCAGCTTTCAGCAGCAGGACCTGGGCACACTGTAACCTTGCTGAGCCTCCTCCACACTCCACAGGCAGGAACAGAACTGGCCTTGCGGGTTCATTGAGAGGACACAGCAATCCCACTGGGCCGAGCAGCTGGCTTCCCCACAGGCCCGGCCTCCATGGGCCAGGTCCCCAGACTGAGGCTGCAGATCCCGGGATGAGGGTGTCGGGGCTTTCATTCTTCTGACTCAGTGGCTGTCAAACCATTTTGCCTGAGCACCCGCAAAATAATTTTGAAAAACTATGTACTTCCAAGCACATTAAGTCAACATTTCTGCAGCAAGTGCAAATAGCTGCAAAGAATATAATTTCCAGAATAATATAAATATTGACATCTTAAAATACAACCATGACATCATTCCCTAAATGTATGTGGAGGAAGACAATTAGCATAGTGATTTGAAACCACTGTCACCCACTTCAACACAGCAGCAAGCTCTTCCCCCTGGCAGAAAGCCTGCTTTGCCTTTTTTCCTTGGATGTGTTTCCATTCCATTTCTCCTTAAGAGGTTCTTCTTGGTTTACATTTCCAAGTCTTTTATTCCACACCCTATTATAATTTGCTCCCAAAATACATCTATGCATTGAAATGAAAATTCCCTAGGACTAAAAATCTCTGAATATGTAAAGTAAATTCTGGATTTGTTATTACTGTACCATGATTAGCAGAGGACAATAAAAAAAAAATCTCCAATGTACTGCAAATTTTAATAGATACCAAGCAGCAACGTAGCATCTTGGTGGAACTGTGTCTCTGAATGAGATAGGTAAAACAGTTTTCCTGGTTTGGTTCACTTCTCTCTATGAATCTTACTTTTTACTAGAATAAGATGAGGTTTAGCACCAACTCTGTTCAAAGTTTTTTGTAAAGAAGCATTTTGCTCACACAAATCACAAGACAAGGCTGAAAAGTTTTAGTACAGCAATGTGAGGTGAGTTGCTAACCTCTTTCTGTGGCATCTGCCTTAAATTCCCTATATACCTAGTTTCAAACTTTTTTTTTTTTTTTTTTTTTGGGGTCTTTTTCCTTTTTATCGGTACCAGGGATCAAACTCACGACCACCTGCTTGCGAGGCAGGTGCTTATGCCACTGAGCTAAATCCCCTGCCCCAATTTTCAGACATTTTTAAAATGATCTCTCAGCCGTTAATTAAGCTTTTATCAGTTTAGCAGAAAGTGAAGAACTGGACACCACCTGACTTTTGAAGGCTTTAGTAACGAGTCTTTCTCAGCGCTTCCACCATTGTTTCTAAGGTTCCCTCTTGTGGTCCCTGAGGTCTGGGCCCCCTAGGCCAAGCCCCCATGGTGAGCCTGGGCCTCAGGATTTCACTGCAGAGTGGTGAGCGAGATGAGATGCCCGGCCTCAGTTGGTAGCTGAGGACCTGCGAACTCACTCTTCAAGGTCCCCCTGCCCACCTTGCCTGGGACATCTCTCTTAACATCAGGGCTCTGTATGCCAGGGACACCACTGTTCTAACAGCCCATGGGCCCCCACAGAAGGAAAACTGGATCTGAGTCAGCCCAAGTCCTTCCCACAGACCTTCTGTCACCTTTGAGAGGGCCTAAAAGCTGCACCTGGCTGGCTCTAGGCCCTGTGTCTTCAGCAATCAGCCCCCTACCCAGAGAAGGGAGTGAACTGAGGTCAGGAGATGGGAAAGGCAGTGAGGGGAGAACCAGGAACCTCGGGGAGGTCCCTGGCCACCCAGGATCTCTGGTCCAGGACATTCGTGGTCAAGGGTCCCACTGGTCCCGAGAGTACCCCTGACTTCAGCTCTGACCCGAATCTTCCCTCTCTCTCAACTTCTCTGTCCCAGCAGCTCCTTCTTGGATCTTTAGCTGGCTGCCTCCAGTAGTTCTTCCATCCTGTCCAGACCACTGGTTATGCCCCCCACTGTCCCCCAGCATGGCCACAGGTGTCCAGAGGGATCTTGACTGCTCCGACTGTGGCAGATGCATCCCTCCCTCTCTGGGAGACACATTCTGGGGTGACTCGCCCTTTTGAAAACAGATCTCTCCAGGGGCGTGGCAGGATCCCCTCAAGCTGTTCTGTCCCAGCTTCCCATGACCTGGCACTTCCTGGCAGCCGCTCTAAACTGAGCCAGTGGTTCCCTGCTGAGGCCTACAGTGGCATTGCATGCAGCCTGAATGGGAAAAGGGTGGCCTGGGGGTCTTCACTCAACCAAGTGAATCTGGGCAGGTCACAGGGCTTCAGTTTCTTCATGGGGTCCCCATGCCTGCCTCACAGGGCTGTTGTCTGATGTATTCTGAACATTCTCCAAAAGTCTAAAACAGTGATAAACCCATGATACACAGCATCCCAACCAATGTAACAAGACAGTGCAGTTTTAATCTCTGTAGCCACTCCCGTTTTACAGACGAGGACACCAAGCTTAAAGAACACAAGGACCCACCGAGTCCCCAACATTCAGGGCATGAGAGCTGGGGTATAAAATCAGTTCGCCCTGACACACACTGCTAAAACTACAGGTGATGTGCAATGTTCCTAACTAGTCCTGCACCTTTCACTCAACAGTGGTAGCTGCTGTCACCAGGATTGACTTTTCAGAAAGGAGACATCAGGCCTCCTGGCACAGTGTCCGGTGTCTGGCAGGCCACCTCCACAACAAACCTTCCCATACCCCTCCATCATGTGAGTCCATTTTCCTGGGAGCAGCTGAGGAAGAGCAACTCCTGATACCATGGCCCGATCATAGCACGTCTTCCAGAAAGCCCTCCTGGAGGACCCCGGCCGCTGGAATGCTTGTGCCTCTCTGCTTTGCAATCACACCAAGAGCCCACCTGCCAGGTACCACTTGCACCGTTTCACACGCTCTACCCTTTGGGTCAGGTCCCCTTTTCACTTCGCCGAGTCTCTGGGTGCCTGACAATGATGCATCTCCCAGGAGGCCAGCAGCCTTCAGAAACCAAGTCTATTTCAGGATGTCATTTAAATACAGAGAAGGAAGGGTGGGGAATAGAGAGGGACATGGCACATTTTCCAGAGAAATGATGTTGCCTGAATGGCTGCGACTATTTATAACCCCTGGGAAATGTGGACTCTGCTATTTCCTGATTAAATTAGTGCTTGGGATGGAGGAGCAGCTCCTGGGAGGTCGGTGGAAGGGAATACCTGCTTACTAACAGCTCTAATCCCAGGAGACAGGTGCCATCCATAGGCCGCCTAGAACAGATACCGAGGGGACATCAGGTCACCTGGAGGGAGGCAGAGAGGGCTTGCAAAAGGCCAGGCTGACAAGACCAGGTGGTCACCTTTTCATACAACAGGTGACACCCTCAGGACAGGGCAAGGCAGGGGACAGGCAGGACACAGAAACAGGCCAGGGTCAAATCATGGCCCAAGAACTGACTTTTAGGCTGATGACAGGAGAGCACTAGGTCCCCTGCAGCCATGCTTGACACTGGGGCCTTGAGTCTTGCTCCCTAGGAGGGGACACAGTCACACTCAACTCTGAGTCCTTCAGAATGCTTGGCCGTGTTCTTCAAACTTTGCCACATTCCCCCAAGAGCACAGACTGCCTGACGGTCTCCTGGGAGTGACTTCTGCGACCTCCCCTTCCCACAAACCCTTACATGGTGTCCTTTAATCTCTAGTAAGGGACCTGTGGTGGCCCGTCCGTGGGCAGCAAACAGAACTAGCTGCTTCTGGTCTTGGGGCAGAGGCATGGAACAGCTGTCAGCAGAACTCTGAGATGTACCCAGGGCTCACCAGATGACGGGGCCCTTGACAGCATCAGCAGGGCCTCAAGGGCTTCAGGCCTCTACCTCTTTCCCCTAGCCCTGGATCCCACCCCTGATGACCCTTCCCTTAGAGCCCCTATCACTGCCTCAGAACAGGGGAACTTCGCTCCTGCCTGTCAAAACTGCTGCCATTCTTCCCTTTTTCTCCCGCTCTGCTCCGCTAGGTCTGAGCCTGCCACCCTGGCCCTCTCCAGGAAGCCAGGTGGACTTTCTTTGAAACCCCGACATGGTTTCAGAAGTCAAGAGAAATGAAATGCTTTTTAACAAGGGCAGTAAATTCAGTGCACTGAAGCTGTCACCCTAAGAAAAGGCAGACAGGTCTCAACAAACATCAGCCAGACTATTATAGAGTGTTAGATGGAAGGCATAGCTAGCCGAATCCCTGCCACAGGTCAAGCACCAGGGCGTGGGCCCCAGGCTCTGAGCCAGGCATCGTGTCTAATATGGGCACATTTCCTGTGGCTCCCAAGCCAGGGGCCACGGTGGCGTTCCTGGGGGTGCCCTCCCCAAAGTGCAGTCACACGCTTAGGGCTGGGTCCCCTTGGGATACCAAACCAGGCTGTCATTGGGACATACCATAGGCGTGAGAGGCACGGCAGGGCGGGCAGTGGGGAGCAGGGAGCTGCCAAGAGCCCGCCTCGCCTCCCTGGAGCAGGGCACTGGAGGATTCCGTAAACGTGGCTGCTCAGAGAGGGCGGGGCTGCCAGGCCTTCCACCCCAACAACTGGGTCAGAAGAGACTCGGGTCATGCATGGTAAATTGTCACCTCCTCTTCCCAGTAGCCTGGCAGCCCCACCAGAAGGCCAAGCCAGCTCTGCCTCTTTGGCTCACACTCTGCAGAGACAGATGCAGCAGACACACCCCAGGCTGCCTAGGGGTGCTCTGTAGCCAGTTTGCCCACCTGTCCCCAGGCCAGCCACAGACCAGCTCTACTGGCTCTCGTCTTCTAAGGCACCCAGATGAGGCTACTTTGCCCTGCTGGCCTCCCCTCCTCAAGAACTGAAGTTCCCCAGACCCACAGATGGAAGGGGTTTAGCGGCTCTGAACAGGGCTTTTGATTGAAGCCAGGTTGGCCTCTTAGCACCCATGGCAACCTGCCTTCCTCAGTGCCCCTGCCATGGCTCAGCCTCTCTCTGCATTCCGTGCCGTCAGCCCTTGGCTGGGCACCGCTGCCCTGGAGGGTAAGCAGACAAAACGCAAATCTAGGCCGCAACTTAAAAGGCCAGGCACGGCTTCCCTGGAGCTGTCCACTGACCACAGCCCTCCTGGCCCCAAGAAATCTGGACTTTACCCTAGGACCAGCTACAAATAAACAGCTAGGGACACCAAGGTAGCAAGGGCAGAGGCAGTGTGTCACTTTGGGATAAGTAGCCAGGGCCAGAGCAGCACAAGGGCAGCCCCCAGCAGGCGCGTTCCCACAGGGAAGGGTTGATCTTAGAGCGCGCAGTTGAAGCAAGAGGTTTTCTGAGGTTCCAACAAGAAAATCCATGTTAGCTCTCTGGGAAGGCCGAGGCCCTCGCAGCCCACCATCGGCTCACAGGTCTCCCTCCGACCTTGCGGCAGTGTGGTACGAATTATAAAGTCCTTCTCTAAGGCTGACTTCATCTTCCTGCCTGGGCCAGGAGCACTTTCTGGGCACAGTGCCTGTTGCTAGTGAAAATGGGGCACAAGCAATCGCACTGCCTATGCGGTCTGGAGTGGACTCTTCCCCCAGGCTCACATCTGCTATGAGTCTGTGTTCACTACATCAGCAAAAGTAACTGGCGTGCCTGGCACTCTGGGCACACCGCAAGGCTGATGGACAGGTGCCCCACACCAAGGGAATATGGCCCGTCTCCACTACTCAGGACCCCAGATGACAGAGCAACAGCCATAGGTGCTGAGTGGGTCCTGGGCCTCCTCCTGGGAGGCCCCACGAGGCAGGTGCACAGTAGACACAAGCCCGTGTGGAGGGTGGGCTGCCCAGGTTTGAATATCTCCTCTGCTAAGCCGCTTGCGTGGCCTCATCTGGGTCATTCTCTGAGCCTCAGTTTTCTCGTATGTAAAATGGTGTGGATAATAATAGCACTTACCTCATAGGACACCAAGGGCTCAGAATAATGCCCGGTGCTCAGTCCACGCTCAAAGCGCAGCAGTATCCATCCCCCTGTGTCTGGATCCAAGCCCAAGCTCTCGTGGCCTACAGGGCCCTGGGCAGTGTGGCTGCTGCCTCTCACCCCATGTCACCCCACCGTCATTCTCGGGCTCTGTCTGCCCCTGAGCACACCTGTCTCCAGGCTTTTCCCTTGCTGCTTCCTTTGCCTGGATATCATGACCCCAGATCTTTCACGGCTGATCCTTTCTCGCCATTTAAACCTTAATTCAAAAAAGTTCTGGCCAGGCACGTGGTGCACATCTGTAATCCCAGCCCTTAAAACATGGAGGCAGGGGAATCGCTGTGATTTCTAAGCCAACACTGTGAGTTCAAGACCAGCCTGCACTGCATCACAAGCCCAAGGAGGGTCCCCTTACCATCATGGGCCAAATGAGGCCCTGGGATGCAGGAGATGGGGACAGCAGTGCCCTCCCGTGGGGATTCCTTCAGGACAGGGAGTGAGATGGCCGCATTTGGCAGACCGTGGTGACCCTGGGAGGCTGAGGCAGGACTGTAAATTCAAACCCAGCAGGTCCCTATCTCAAAATACAAAATGTGTCAGGAATGGAGCTCAGTGGAAAGGCCCTAATGGCCCTAGGTTCAATCCTCAGCACTCTGTGTATGTCGGGGGGGGGGGGTGCCCTACATTCCTCACCTCTCTGCTCTCATGTTTAATGAATGGCTAGCTTTGGCACAGGGGCAGCCCTATGACTTCTCAAGCCCAGACTCCCCTAGCGTCTTTGAGGGTTTAAGGCTTAGGAATAGGAATCCTGAGTCATGGCCAAGACCTCATATGACTGGATTCTAAGAGATCATCCTGTTTAGCTCTCCCCCAGAGAACCAGAGAGGTGAGGAGATTTGCCCAAGATCACACAGCGAGTTAGAACAACAGACCTAGATGACAAGTAAAGCCTCTTGACTCCTTCCAGCCTGGACCCCTTCCTCCTCTAGCACCCTGTGGCTCAGGAGTGTGGTCTAGGGCTGCTGCACGGAGACCTCACACAGCACACAGGAGGCATATGAGTGGGAAGGGACACTGAATACCACTGCCCTGAGGGGCTCAACTAAGACCTCGGCACTGGTTGGGGTCATTGTCCAGGATGGAGACCATTTCGGCTTCAGGAGCAAGCCCCATTCTAAAGACAGTCAAGGAAATCTCTTTGGGGATCTGAGTTCCCAGGCTTTGCAGAAAGAGGTTCAGGAGCAGCCTCCATGGCCCACCTTGGGAGGGGGCAGAAACCACAATTCCTACTGGGATCCGTGGCGACACGGGCTTTCTCCTGGGGATCAGGCAGGCAGTGTCCAGGAGGAGGGGGCTGTGTGTCCCCCTAAGGTGCCAGAACACAAGCACTCCCTCTGCCCCAACATGATGTGACCGCCCAAATGGCCTGCTGACCAGCTCCCAACAATGTGGGCACAGTGGGGCCATTCAGCAGAGTCCAGTCTTTCGAGATCAGCACCTCTTCACTGACACCCAGTGAGTCCCCGGACTAGTACCTGCAGAAATTCCTGAACTCTTTTCCAGGCTTGAACCTCACTTGTCTTTAGGGATTACTATAACAATGGGCCCATGCAGCTTTGACTTTTCAGGAATGACCATGGCCAGCAGGCTTGGCTCTCGCTGGTCCAGCGCCACTGGAAAGCCATGGCACTACGCCCAGTAAGGCTGACGGGCCAAGCTGTGTGTGGGATTGCAGAGATGGGGAGACCAGTGCCCATCCAGTCTCCCCTGGTGCCAAGAAACGGTGCTTGACAGGTTTGTTCAGAGCACGGACTCCTACTTCAGGGTCCAAGAGGAACTCCTCTGAAATAGCTGTTTATACAAAGGGAATCAGAGGGGGCTTCAGAACCTTTACCAGATTTTCAGAGTCAAGGGCTCTTGCTCTGTGGTGTCACACAGCCTTCTGAGGAGCCAGCACAGTGGGCACAGGAGCACTAGGAGCAGCAGAGCACCCATGCAGCTTTGGTAACCCGGCCTTGCTCTGGGAAGCACCATACGCAGGAGAGCACACTACACCTGCTTTCTACCTGCCGGCCTCTCACCCTCCTGGCCCACGGAGAGGCCCAGTATAAAGTGCACTGGTGGCCAAGATATCCAGTTCTGAGGGAGGAGCCTGTGTCTACAGAGGAGGAGGAGTCAGTGTAAGGGAGCAGGATGGGCCTGCAAATGGGGAAGAGTTCAGGTTTCTTTTGGCAATGTAGAAGGAGGGGAGCTGGGCACAGCTGTGGGTGGCCATAGTCGGGACAGACTTCTATTGGAAAAAGTTTCCAAACATTTCTGTATGCCCAGAATCAGGTAATGAGGGAACAAGCCAAGACACACCTGTAATGTGTGTCCGGCACGCTGTGTGCTCAACGGCAGGAACCGGGAATGAGCGGCTAAGCGAATCTCTAATGGGGACGCCTGTTTCAGACTCGGTGCTGTAAAGAATTCTAGTTAAATGGCACATGCCGGAAGGAACTAGGAACTGGCCGGGGGTGGCAGTCAAGCTGACAAAGGGAGCCTCTTCTATGAGCACCTAAACCTTAAAGTTCCCCAGATAAGTGACCCAGATGTGTGGGGGGATCCCCATCCTGTCCTTCCTCAGGTCCTCAGGACCTCTGATCCCCTCTGTGAGCAGGGGAGCGATGGCCGTCACCAAACAGGTAGACTTTGCCATACGAGCCCTTGCTTCTGGGAGAAGGGAATTCTCAGGCCAACATTGCAACCCCTCAAAACAGAGACAAAGGCACCAGAAGCTGTCCTTCACTCTTTCCCCTGCTCCCCTAGATTTTGCCAGTTTAGTCCGAGTTCCCACCTCAGTCATTGTCCAGCTTGGTCAGGTCAGAAGCAGCTTTGCCTTAGCTACAAGGCCACAGAAAGGGTCTTGAATTCCTCATCCGACAAATGCTTCTGTCCCGGCCTCACTTCTGGCCCTCTTGGCCTCTCTATGGTTCCCACCAGGGACCCCATTAAAACCTCTGGACGATATAGGGTTGAGAATGAGATTCCTCTTCAGCCCCTTCCTTCCAAAGTTCAACCTAAACTTTAGAAGCAGGCAGACAGGGAGGGAGGGGGAGGCACTGAGCCTGGACTACTTGAGTGTGATTTGAGGGGAAAAAAAAAAAAAAGAAAGTAGAAAACGCAAGTTAAATACGGAGAGTGCTGGCAGAACCCACAAACCCAGATGCCACGTGTCTCTTCTGCTAAATGCTTGCACAACAAACCAGCCGCCAAGTCAGGGGCCAGAATGAGGCTTCAGCTCTAGAACTCTGCTTGCGGACAAGAGCAGTCTTACCCTGTCCCCTGTGTAACCCTCTTCCCCAGGAACTAAAGGCTCCTGGGACCAGAGGCCTCATGCCATTTCAAGGGTTCAGTTTTCACACTGGGCCCTTTGCATCTGAACAGACTCAGGACCGCCACAGGGTCCCCGGGTGAGTCACCCCCATTCCTCTAGCTTTTCATAACTAGGGTTAAATCAGAGCAGCAGGGCCACAGGGGTCTCAGCATCTACATCAAATCCTCAGAGCACAGTTAATGACTTCTGAGGCAGAGCCTCCGGCCCCCACTCCCTGCCCCACTCACTGCCCCTTCACACCCCTCAGCCTGGCAGTGAGCCCACTGCACCGGAAGAAATAGGCTCATGCGGCCGGCTAGGGAAGGAAGGGAAGAGGACAGCAGGCTCGCCTTGCATGTGCTCCTACCATGCACAGTGAGACGGCACAGGAGGGTGGCTGTCCTCTGTCACTCACAGCATCCACAGAGCATGTGCTAGGGGACTGAGGTACCCACTACACAACACATCCCAGCACCAGCCAGCTCAGCAGCCCAGTGCCTGGCCAGCTCACTACCCTGGCCCAGAAAGCACCACAAGCCATGGAACTGTCAGCACCAGAAGCAAACCCAGCTAGAGTTGCTCAAGTGGGCTTCTTGATTTTTCTACATGACAGGAGAACAGGAAGTCTGTGCTTTGGAGTTAAAAATTTTAATCCCACCTACCAGACACCTTCCCTAAGCAGCAGGTAAACTGGAGGGATGATGAGCTTTGAGCTGGTGTTTGCTGCTCTCAGCAGGGCCAGGGAGAGGGGACAGGGAGGGGTGCCTCCATGCTGGCGGGCACAGACAGCTGCCTCAGCACACAGGGGTTCTGGGAGCAGCCAGGGCCAGCAGGACTCTGCCAACCTGGTCTCCAGGGAGGCTGAAGGTGACACAGGGGCCAAAGCAGGATAGCTCAAGTTGCCTCCCTGTCTAGTGCTTTCCAGAACTAATGTTACCTCTAAGGGGTCAAGAATGCCCCATTGGCAGGAAACAAAACTAAGCAAGGAGCCAACATGCCTGCATCCCTTCCTCTCGGTGGGTACCAGGAGCTTTATGGTAACTAGCTAAAAGACTGTACACAGAGTGTCCACCTTTGAGCAAGAAGGCTTGCAGCCCCCATCAAACTGGCCGAGGCCGCCTCCTGCGTCATTATCTTGAAGGATGAACATGGTCCCGGTCAGCCAGCACTGATGTCCTGTAATGTCCTAGGCAGCTGATTTGGTGTACTGAGTTATCAGGCACTTACTATGCTGGGCACTGGGTCTGGCTCTCACTCAGACGCCCAATGCCAGGGCCCAAAGCCAGCCCCAAGGCAGCCTGCCCAACTGCAGGACAGTCAGCTTCTATCTCAGACTTTAAGCCCAACTCAGGTCTGGGGCTGCAGGCAGGACCGGCAGTCTGCCCTGGCACAGCTTGGTCCCAGCCGCCTGCTGGGTCAGCAACCCCCTGGCACGCTGACTTGAGTTGCCTGGTGCCCAGGTGGCACCAGGCCAGCAGTAATCTGGGTGGTCCCTGAAGAGGCAGCCTGCAGCCCCCAAATTCAGCACATCATCACCTTTCTACCACCTGCCCCCTCCCCCTCTGCTGAGAACGATCCTTCAACTTGCACAGAGAAACCTCACAAGGCAGATGTCTTGAAGTGCCCCTCAGCAAAGACAAAGCCAGCAACATCCACAGGGTGGGTGGGGTGGTGGTGGTGGGGTGTCAGGCCTGTGCTGCCTTCTGGGAGGACCATGAGACTCAGGAACCCCAACCTGGCCTGTTTGGACTCCTTGAGTATCGACTTAGAAAGCAGCCAGGGCCAGTCCACTTGTGCAGGAGACAACATCTCCTTTCTGTCCCTGAGACAGGGACAGAAATAGAGAGGACAGACAGGGTTGGGGACACGGTAGCCACTAGGGTCAAGTTCAAGGCACCTGAAGCAGACCCGCACGCATAGCCAGCCTGGGTCCTGAACTCCTCGGAGCAGACGGGCTGCCATAGGCAGAGAGCGTGCCCCAGGAGCCCCAGCCCTCCCCAGCCCCTCTGCAGCCCGACGCCCTCAGACCCCTCCAGTCCCGGCCTAGCACCTTGTGTCGGAGCAGCTTGCTGCGCACTCGGCCCCAGAGCCTGGCGCCTGTGTTGGGGGGTCTCTTGCTCCCTGGCTCCTCCAGCTGATCGAGGCAGCAGCGCTCCAAGGGTTCGCACACTGCCTTTAGGCTGCAGTCAGGCTGAGGCAGGACGTCGGTCATGCCGGCGGCCGGCCTGCAGGGGCCAGCTCTAGGGAGATGCAGAGAGTGGCTCAGCTCAGTGGCGCTGGAGAGGTTGCTCTGCGGAGCGCTCTGAGCGCTCGGCTTGCCGGACTGTTAGTCGAGCTGCCGGGGAAGCGCGGTGCGGGGCTCAGCTTTCTCCTCCCTTCTCCTCCCCCTCCCTCCCTCCCCCTCCCTCCCCCGAGACTGCAGCCCTCCGCGCTCTGAAAGCTGGAGCAGCAGCGGTCTAGGTCTAGCTAAGCGCACCGCCGGCACAGGGCGCCTCCCTGCAGCAGCCTTGGGGCCTCCTATCTGCCAGCTCGCGGTCCAGCTCCTGGGACACCTAGTGGAGCCCCAGCAGGCGGGGGCGCCCCCGCCCCATCAAAGGAAGTGACTCAAAGTAGGCGCTGGAGCTGCCCCCTCCCAAAACACACAACCCCCGTCTTTAACTCTCGGTAAACTGCTGGTACTTACCAACACTGTATCCCTCCTTCTAGCCCTTATTAAATAAAGTTTGACAAGCGCCTAAACACAAGCCAGTCCGGTTCCCTCTAGATCTAGGTTAACCCTTTCACCACCAGATTGCTCTGGGAACTAGGGTATCAGAGAGGCTTGTGGCCAAGCTGGAAGGGCCACAAGAGCCAGGGTTCTGAAGAGCTGTACTTTGGTCCTGAGGAACTGCTCTCTCCTGCTGCTAAAGACTGGCTCTATCTGTCCCTAAATCCCATTCCAAGGCATCTCTTTCCCTGCCAACTTGGTATCAAGACCAGACACTCAGGGACCAGAACTCCCAAATCTCCTCTTGTGGAAAATGTGAAGCAAAAGAGGCCAGACATTGTGACCTACACCCGTGACCCCAGCTAACCGGAAAGGTTGAAGTGGGAGGACTGCAAATCTGAGGCCAGCCTGGGCAACTCAGGGAGACCCTATCTCAACAGAGACAGAAGCAGAGTAGAATGTCTCAAGTGGGGTAACTTGCTGAGTTTAGTAGCTCAGTGGGAATCAGGCCACTGGGGTCCTCTGCAGAACAGTAACCAGCCAAGGCGACTCCAGTCACAGGTATCAGCCCATGGTTGCTTTTAAGCATGGCCCTGCACATCTCACCAAAAACGGCTTGTGCTGTGAGAGGAAGAGAATATCCAATGGCAGAGGGAATCAGCCATGTGTCTGTGCTGGGCACCATGGAGGCAACAGAGAGTAAGACCTTGTTACTAACAAGATGTCCTAACATCTAACTGAAGAGCAAAAAGTGAAACGTAAGGTAACCAAACCAGTTAGAGTACCTAGAGAGAGAGAGAGAGACATCTGAACCCCAGCTGGGTGAGGGATACACAGTACAGGTGCGAAGGGCACCTCACCACTGTAGAGCTGAGCATGGGTAGGAAGGAAACCAGGACCTGCATGGTGCCAACCAGGAACCATACACAGGGCTTTCAAACAGTCGTTGCAGCCAGGCCAGATGGCACATGCAAGTAATTCTAGCACTCTGGGAGGCTGAGGGAGGAAGATCACAAATTTCAGCCCAGTCTGAGCAACTTCGTTTAAGACCCTGTCTCAAAATAAAAAATAAAAAAGGGCTGGGGATGTAGCTCAGTGCCAAGGTCTTGCATTTAATCCCCAGGATGGCAGAAAACAAAAATAAAAGCAGTAACAAAAACCACCAGTTACATTCAAGTGACCAGTTTCTGTTCTCCTTCCACAACTGTGAGAACTAGAACTCAAGAGGGAAAGTTCTTGACTGAGGTCATCCAGGTACAGCTGGGAAGTGAGGGGTCCTCCACTTCTAAGGCTCCCGTGTTCACAGTTACTGTCTCACTGGAGTGTGGAGGGGTCTCTGGATTCAGGAAAAGGAGCTGGGTTGGGACAGTTCTTAGCTGATTGCAGATGGGTCAGTGGACAGAAACCAGTTACTGGCCTCCAGATGTCTGTAGTGGTCTCACCAGTGACAGTTATTGGGAGTTTTACACCAAAAACTTTGGAGCTTTTTGAGAAAGGGGAAGATTCACAGTAGAGTGCACCAAGAATTAAGCAGTTACAGTGAGATGTGCCCTTGTTTGACTGTTAGCACCATGCTAACCCTCACCCTCTAAGTGAGCGGCTTCAACCACCTCCAACGTTAGGCAGTAAGCTCTGTGCCAGCATTTCCACTTTACAAGTGAAGAAACCAAGGACAATGAGTTGAGCAACGTGCCCAAGCCCAGGATGGGCTGAGACGTGGAGGTCAAGCCAGCTTGAGTCTCTGCCCGTCACCCTGAGGGAGTGACCCTCTCGTGTGGCAGCGTGAGGTCCTGCCTGCCTGGTGGAGATGGTGCCGCGGGAGCTCTTACTTGGCGCCTGCATGGCTGGAAGCCAGGCCTGGGCTCTAGGTGTCCACGGAGGGCTGCGGGACTGGCTCCACCTCGTCTGGGCTCCACAAGTGCACAGTGCAGAGGGTTGAGTTCCCAAGACTCCTCAATGCTGAGTCAGGGGTACCTAAGGACACAGCAGCTAAAGGAGGGCTTTGCCACAAGGGCCAAGGGAAGCTGGCACACACCTGTGTCTCCTGCCTAGCTGAAGCCCGAGTCACCCTTCCTGACTCATCCCTCTCCTGCCTCTTCCAGAGCCGCTGGGTGTCACTTCCAAAGAGACTTCCTCCAGCCCCATGAGGGACAAAGCAGCTCCTCGTCACAGCTGCCACCAAACTCATCTCCTCTGGATGGCTCTGCTTATTCCTCCACTCTGTTTCTCCATTCCATTCACTTCACTCAGGAGGTTGTGAGGGAGGGCCTGGCTGTATGCCCAACCCTGGGGTAGGGGCTGAGGAATTACAGAGATGAAGCAAAAGCCATGGCTTGGCAAAGCTGCCAGCCACAGGGAGGGGAGGCGAGGAGGCCTCTCAGCAGGAGTGGCAATGCTGGCATGGACCCACTGCCTGTCTACCTAGTGTGTGTCACATCCAGGCCAACAAGTCTTTGTCTTGGCCTTAAAGAAATCCAGGGATATACTATGAAGTGCCAGGAGAGAACATTTCTAGCCACAGCGGATCAGGGACAGCTTTATGGAGAGGCCCGTCCCTGCGCTGGGCCCCAGCTTTACTCCGCCTCCTCTCTGTGATGGTGCAGTGGCCGGTTGTGTAACTGGCTGGGAAGGTGCCCCTGCAAGTGCTCACTGCAGACAGGCAGTCAGCACCTGGACCGGCCAGCTAACTTCAGGGTCTTGCAGGCTCTCTAAGGGTCTCTTCCTTCTGGCTCAGTCACAGGCCACAGGGTGCAGCCTGGGGGGTGACGTGCCACTCTGCCACTGGGTGTGTGGGAGAAGTGGGGGGGGGGGGCAGGATAAATCCTGTTTTCAAAGGCCTACACTTGTCTGTCTTGGGAACCCTAGGCTCAACACTTGTCTGGGGAAAGCAAGCTCTGATTGGATGAAAGATGGCCAACTGGTCTCCATGGTGACAAAAGCGCCTTAACAGATGGGAAGCTGAGTTGGGAGGCTCTTTGCTGGAGATGCTTATCTTTTCCTTCCTCCCCATGGACCAGCGGCTTCCTCTGGGGATGGCACAGATTTGCCTTCTCTTCCCCAGCCTGACTCATTTCTTCCTAGAATGGATGGCCTAGGAACGAGGTGGAGGAGGAGTTGTGTAAGACCAACGGATCCAGGAAGTTCCTCAAAAGCAGTCATGTGTTCTAATCCCCGAAGCCCACTATGGACCCTTGTTCACCTCTGCTGGATGGGGCAGGCGGAGGCGATTCTGGCCACCCAGGAAGTGATCTCATCTGCTCCGCCTATGTCTGACCCACCATCCAGCCACACCTGGCAAAACCCGCCTCTGAGGACGTTTCAAGGGCCGCTTTCTGGATAAACAGAGCCTGGGCGGTAAGGCCCCCACGAACAGATGTTGCTGCCTTTGGAATTAAAAACATTCCTGGTGGACTGTCCCATCCTCCCTTATCCTCTCCCTGGGCCTTCTGCCAAAGGAATGAGATGGGCTGCCCCGAAGGAAAAGAGGGTAGACCCTAGGCTCTGTCTGGGGGGGGCGGGGACGCACCTCCAGCACAGCTGTAACTGAGGTAAAATCAGGCTAAAGTGATCAGCAGGGCATCATTGAGGAAAAAAGGTCAACGGGGAATAATACGCAGCCTGAGACATGTGGGTGGGTGCTACAGAGACTGCCACAGTGCCGCCTTGGTGATAGCCGGGTGTGGGACAGCGTCCAGGCAAATCCTCCAGCCTGTGAATGAGAGGATGATGGCTCTTTCTCAGAACCTTGGGATGTGGTTGCTGCATCTCTGGAGTGACCTCCTTTCCCCCAGAATGACTTTTATCTCCACCGCCAGCCCAGACTAAATGGTCAATTCCTCGTCATCCAAATGACTCAAGAGCTAGAACAGCAGATTTCTGAGCAGTCAACTGGATCAAAGTCCCTTCAATGGGGACTGCTCAGGGGTGAGATGGGGACGGGAGAGCCCCAACAGGTCACCTCAAGAGTCTTAATGTAGGAGTTGAGGCCCCAAAGGAGCCCGGAACCTGGCTGAGGATGATGACCCAGAGGCTCGTGGTGGGGGTCTGCCATGAACATTCCCCACAGCCCCAGAAGAACAGAGTGGGGTGGGCTCAGAGGAACAGAGCTGGGAGCAGGCAGGGTGAGGGTGGCTCGGGTCCTGGTGTAGGGTACAGAAAGGATGCCGCAGAGTGGGTCCTGCCAGGACAGGCACTCGAGCGCAACCTAGAAGAGAACCAGGCAGAGCTGTGCACGGGAGCCTGGAGGTCAGAGCCCAGGGTGAGGCTCTGTGAGCTGGGGGAAGGATGGCCATCCCCGGGGGGCTGGGGAGCTGGGACGGCTGTGTGTTCCCAACCCTGGTGGCTCTG